TGGTTCTGGTTCACTTGTATCTTCACGTTTCCTGTTTCCTGGTGTTTAGATGGAATTTGGTTTCCCTGCAAAGAAATCTTACTTAACCACTTTAATGTAGCACTATAGCCGAAAGACAGCTGCAGTGCGTTCTCTTGTTCTGGGGGGGATCTATAGATGTCCCCCCAGAACACACCTCACGAGCATCCCCTGGGGCATGTATCGGGAGCGCTCTGTAATCTGTGTCCACAGATCGCGGTAAAGGGCCAATCATAGCGGCCCTAACCATGCGATCAGCTGTGTCTAATCACAGCTGATCACATGCAAACAGACTTGCTGGTTATCGGTAGTCTTTTCCTGAGAAGCTGTGAGAAAAGGACAGCAGATACCTGGAAAGCATGTCAACACTGATAATCAGGGCACTGAGGAACAGTGCTGAGCCCCATCAGTGCCCATCAGTGTCACCTATCAGTGCCGCAACATTACTGCTCATCAGCGCAGCCTATCAGTGCCCATCAGTATCACCTATCAGTGCCGCTGATCAGTGGCTATCAGTGCCGCAACGTTAGTGCCCATCAGCACAGCTCATCAGTGCTTACCAGTGCAGCCTCATTAGTGCCACCTCATTAGTGCCCATTAGTGCCCTTCAGTGCAGCCTCATCAGAGTAGCCTTATTAGTGCCCTTCAGTGCCGCTTCATTAGTGCCCATCAGTGCAGCCTCATCAGTGCAGCGTCATTAGTGCCCTTCAGTGCATCCTCATCAGTGATGCCTCATTAGTACCCTTCAGTGCAGCCTTATCAGTGCTGCCTCATTAGTGCCCATCAGTGCAGCTTCAGTGCATCAGTGCCTGCCTCATTAGTGCCCTTCAGTGCAGCTTCATTAGTGCCCATCAGTGCAGCCTCATTAGTGCCCATCAGTGCAGCCTCATTAGTGCCCATCAGTGCAGCCTCATCAGTGCTGGCTCATTAGTGCCCATCAGTGCAGCCTTATCAGTGTGCTGGCTCATTAGTGCCCATCAGTGCAGTCTCATCATTCAGTGCTGGCTCATTAGTGCCCATCAGTGCAGTCTCATCAGTGTCCACTAGTGCAGCCTATCAGTGAAGAAAAATTACTTGTTTGCTAAATTTGATACCAGAAACAAAGAAAAAGGTTTTTTTTCCTGCAAATTTTCAGTCTTCTTTAGCAAAAAAAAAAAAAAAACACCCCCAGTGGTGATTAAATATCATCAAAAGAAAGCTCGGTCTCAAACTCATTTCATACGGGTATAGTGCTGCATGACTGCGCAGTTGTCGTTCAAAGTCCCTCAAACGCCCTATGCATGTTTTTGAGGCGTTTCATAGGCGTTTTCCAAGCATTAAAACCGCACCACAAACGCCTATAATGAAGGTAACGGTATTAACACCTCGGAAATGCCTGCCGGGCGTTTGAGGAGCATCATCATAGACTTGAATGGGAGGCATTGAAAAGCTTTAACTCCTCCTGACTGAACACGAGGCGTCAATATTGCCGCAACGATAACGTCTCAGTGTGAACAGCCCTGTGTGCTGCCATGTGTATAATTTTCATAGGCATTTGAGGAGCGTTAAAAACGCCCTTCAAACGCATGCTTACAACGCTAGTGTGAACTTGGCCTAAGAGTTAAAGCGGAGTTCCACCCAAAAGGGGAAGTTCCAGGGGCGGGTTGCTGTTCATAAATGGCGCCCGTCATTTTGGATTGTGCGCGCTCCCTGGGAGCGCGCGGCCCCGCGATCCGGTGCCCACTGTGTCTGGAGGACACAGCGGAACACCGACCACTGTACGGGACCTCTGTGCGAGCTCCCGATCATGTGTTCACTGATTGGTCAATCAGTGATCACATGAATAGGTATAAGCAGGATTTCACTTCTGACATCATTGCTTACTACGTGTGAAATCTGTGAATGATCACAGAGATCACATGGTACAGGGCTATTCACAACAGCCATGTGTACCATGTGACAAGCTGTGACCAATCACAGATTTCACACAGTAGTTCTCAATGGCTGCAGGAATGTAGCCAGAGAGGAGAAATGATTGCTTTTAGAGCCTTTATGGGTGTAAAAGCAATCAGTGTAATATAAAAAAAAAATCATCACCCCCCCACAAGTAGTACAGTGTCACCATGGTGTCACTGTACTGCTAGGGTGACAGTATGTTAAAAAAAATAAATAAATAAAAAAAATAAAAATTAAAAAAAAAATTATAATTTTTGGTTATAAACTAATTTGGGTTATTTTTTTTTTTTACTAAAAAGATAACTGAATACATTTTGGCCGAGATTTATGAAGAAAGATTATTTATTTGCAAAATTTTATAAGAAAAAAACCTTTTTTCAAAATTTTTGGACTTTTTCATTTATATAGCAAAAAAAAAAAAAAAAAATCCCAGCGGTGAATAAATACCACCAAAATAAAGTTTTATCTGTTTAAAAAAAAATGCTAAAAAATTCATATGGGTACAGTGTTGCATGACCGCGCAATTGTCATTCAAAGTGTGATAGCGATGAAAGCTGAAAATTGGCCTGGACAGGAAGGGGGGGGGGGAAAGCGTCCGGACTGGAAGGGGGGGAAAGCGTCCGGACTGGAAGGGGGGGGGAAGCGTCCGGACTGGAAGGGGGGGGGAAGCGTCCGGACTGGAAGGGGGGGGGGGGGGGGGGGGAAGCGTCCGGACTGGAAGGGGGGGGGGAAGCGTCCGGACTGGAAGGGGGGGGGGGAAGCGTCCGGACTGGAAGGGGGTTGAAAGTGTCCGGACTGGAAGGGGGTGAAAGTGTCCGGACTGGAAGGGGGTGAAAGTGTCCGGACTGGAAGGGGGGGAAAGTGTCCGGACTGGAAGGGGGGGAAAGTGTCCGGACTGGAAGGGGGGTGAAAGTGTCCGGACTGGAAGGGGGGGAAAGTGTCCGGACTGGAAGGGGGTGAAAGTGTCCGGACTGGAAGGGGGTGAAAGTGTCCGGACTGGAAGGGGGTGAAAGTGTCCGGACTGGAAGGGGGGAAAGTGTCCGGACTGGAAGGGGGTGAAAGTGTCCGGACTGGAAGGGGGTGAAAGTGTCCGGACTGGAAGGGGGTGAAAGTGTCCGGACTGGAAGGGGGTGAAAGTGTCCGGACTGGAAGGGGGTGAAAGTGTCCGGACTGGAAGGGGGTGAAAGTGTCCGGACTGGAAGGGGGGGGGGAAAGTGTCAGGAGGACTGGAAGGGGGGGGGGGAAGCGTCCGGACTGGATGGGGGGGGGGGAAGCGTCCGGACTGGAAGGGGGGGAAAGTGTCCGGACTGGAAGGGGGTGAAAGTGTCCGGACTGGAAGGGGGGAAAGTGTCCGGACTGGAAGGGGGGGTGAAAGTGTCCGGACTGGAAGGGGGTGAAAGTGTCTGGACTGGAAGGGGGGTGAAAGTGTCCGGACTGGAAGGGGGGGAAAGTGTCCGGACTGGAAGGGGGTGAAAGTGTCCGGACTGGAAGGGGGTGAAAGTGTCCGGACTGGAAGGGGGTGAAAGTGTCCGGACTGGAAGGGGGGGGGAAAGTGTCAGGACTGGAATGGGGGGGGGGGGGAAGCGTCCGGACTGGAAGGGGGGGTGGGGGAAGTGTCCGGACTGGAAGGGGGGAAAGTGTCCGGACTGGAAGGGGGTGAAAGTGTCCGGACTGGAAGGGGGTGAAAGTGTCCGGACTGGAAGGGGTGAAAGTGTCTGGACTGGAAGGGGGTGAAAGTGTCCGGACTGGAAGGGGGTGAAAGTGTCCGGACTGGAAGGGGGGTGAAAGTGTCCGGACTGGAAGGGGGGGGGGAAAGTGTCAGGACTGGAAGGGGGGGGGAAAGTGTCCGGACTGGAAGGGGGTGAAAGTGTCCGGACTGGAAGGGGGGTGAAAGTGTCCGGACTGGAAGGGGGGGTGAAAGTGTCCGGACTGGAAGGGGGGGAAAGTGTCCGGACTGGAAGGGGGGGAAAGTGTCCGGACAGGAAGGGGGGGAAAGTGTCCGGACTGGAAGTGGTTAAAGCGGCTTTAGGTTGAAAAGGAAAGGGAATTTGTAAGAATATTACAGCCTGGTTTGTGTAGAAATTGCACCCGCTATATTACATACATTTTCTTTCTGTAAACGTGGCGTTACCCTTTCAGGAACATGTTGGAAGCCTGGCTGCCATGAGCAGTATTAGGGATGATCAGGGCGTAATTGCGGAGTGAGCGGAAGATGGAGGGGTTAGGTGGAGCCTGATTAGCCAGGATGCAGAGAATAGTTATTATTCATGGAATATTGAAATGATACATAAAACAATGAGCTTGGGGCTTTGGCTAATGAGGAATTCTGACTTCTGAGAAGCACTGGAGCCCCTTGGGGGATGGGGACCGGCCCATGGTGGGTTCGGCCCAGCAAGATGCAATCACTGCCTTGATATATATCCGAAATGGAAAACATCATCTCCTGAGGATTTTCAGTATGGACGACGCCTCGTCTTATATTATGTGTGTTCTGAATCTCCAGACATGAACATTTTTCATGAAAACGGGCTCAGAGGACGCAACCTACATTGCTGTACATCCCTCATTTTATTCCTGATGTTGTTGTTCACCTAGCTGCCCTAACCACTAAATACCCATGAAAAGTATAAATCTTCCTCTTCTGATCAGTCCTGAGCCGGCGAAAAAAAAAGGGGTCACCATTTTCCCTTGTTTCTGCTCTGCCATCCTTCCAAGCCAAGTGCAGCGTGAGTAGTAGGTTGACGGACTCATGATCATTTGATAAGGGTCAGTGGTCTACAATGGATCATATAAACCTCAGATAAGGCAAGTGATTAACCACCTCCTGTCCGGCCGTTGTATATAAATGGCCGAATGGTGGCAGTGCAGGCGCCGTTTATAAACGGCCCCCCCACCCCCTGCTTGTGTGCGCTCCCTGGGAGTGTGCAGCACCTTGATCCGGTGCTTGCTGTGTCCTCCGGATACAGCAGAACACCGATCATTGGACGGGACCTCTGTACGAGGTCTTGCACTGATTGCACATCTGGCAGCTAAAGCTCTACAGACCTCTATAGCATGGGCTCCAAACTGGTGGCCCTCCAGCTGTTGCCAACCTACAAGTCCCATGAGGCATTGCAAGATTGACATTTACAAGCATGACTCCCAAAGGCAGAGACATGATGGGACTTGTAGTTTTGCAACAGCTGGAGGGCCGCCAGTTTGACACCCCCTGCTCTATGGGATCACCTCCTGAGCATCTACTGGGAGACGCACAGGTATGAAAACACACGGGCGTGGCCACTGCAAAGAAGAGGATATAACCCTACAGCGGGCAGAGAAAAGTGGGGTGCTTTAAGTTGAGGGAAAGGGGGTCCAAAAGGAAAATAGAAAGTAAGTTATGCTGCAAATTCTGCTTCAGGATTCCATTACAGCAGTGGTTCTCAACCTGTGGGTCGCGACCCCTTTGGGGGTTGAACGACCCTTTCACAGGGGTCCCCTAAGACCATCAGAAAACACATATTTCCGATGTGTAAAGAGCAGCTACTGTGTTGAAAGCAGCTACTCTGTTAAAAGCAGCTACTGTGTAGAAAGCAGCTACTGTGTAGAAAGCAGCTACTGTGTAGAAAGCAGCTACTGTGTAGAAAGCAGCTACTGTGTTGAAAGCAGCTACTGTGTTGAAAGCAGCTACTGTGTTGAAAGCAGCTACTGTGTGAAAGCAGCTACTGTATTGAAAGCAGCTACTGTGTTGAAAGCAGCTACTGTGTAGAAAGCAGCTACTGTGTAGAAAGCAGCTACTGTGTAGAAAGCAGCTACTGTGTTGAAAGCAGCTACTGTGTTGAAAGCAGCTACTGTGTTGAAAGCAGCTACTGTGTTGAAAGCAGCTACTGTGTTGAAAGCAGCTACTGTGTTGAAAGCAGCTACTGTGTTGAAAGCAGCTACTGTGTAGAAAGCAGCTACTGTGTAGAAAGCAGCTACTGTGTAGAAAGCAGCTACTGTGTAGAAAGCAGCTACTGTGTAGAAAGCAGCTACTGTGTAGAAAGCAGCTGCTGTGTTGAAAGCAGTAGTATTGGAGGTAAAACGACACTTCATGAATTATAATTACTGGGTAAATAATTTAATGGTTGGGGGTCACCACAACATGAGGAACTGTATGAAAGGGTCACAGCATTAGGAAGGTTGAGAACCACTGCATTACAGCAACACAGATATCAGGCTGATCTACCCCATCTTTGCCATTTTCATCCCCTGACTTCCAGAGGGAAGGACCAGTCTACATCTGGAAGTGGGAAGGTAATATTGAGGAAACCCAATCAGCTTGTCCTGCCCAACCACGAGGCAACATTTACAAAAATTAAGGCGCAGTGATTATTACCGAAATCCAGAACTTCCCTTGAAGGTAAAAGGACTTCACTTTCAGCAATGGTTTCCTTTGCATTATTACAATAAATACAAAAGTTGACCGGGGAACCCCGTAGTGGAGTCCGTGTTCTCTCCAGGGTACGTCTTGGCAATAAATGCACGGCCATGCTTTGCGCCAAGCCTCTCACATTGGCCATCATCAGACAGACGCCTCAGCGTTAGCAGAGTTAAGGAGAACACTTCTCTTATTCCCGAAGGTCGGGTGGCTCCACTCAGCGGTGCCATGTTTTATTTAAAATGCGCCGTCTCTGTAACCACTTGTTCTAATTGGCAAGGTAAGGCCAGGTCTCTGGAGCAAGCAGCTCATTACATTCTGAACGGATTACAAAAACACGATGAAACAAACCGCACAAATGAAGGGTTCAAGCAGGCAATATATGCAGAATTAGACCGTAATATAGAGAGCAATCTGCCTGGACATCAGCCGCCGTCTGCTGAGCGGTACAAAGTGCTTGTAGAGTTTCGCCTCCAGTGGGAACTAAAATAACCGATCCGAAGCTGACCGCCGAGTTGGTCTACTTCAGGAAACAAACACAGCTGTTTTTTTTACTTCACATTAAGAAAACCAAAGTACAGTTGTGTTCAAAATAATAGCAGTCAGACATCACTAACCGGATCAATCACTGTTTTTGGTGGAAATGATATTTCTACATGGCAAATAATTTCCTAGCAGGTGTAGTAGAGTAATAGAAATCCAACAGACCCCAACAGTCATGACATGCATGCTGCTGATTCTGTGTCATTGAATCACTCATTGAAAGGGGCGTGTTCAAAATAATAGCCGTGTGGAGTTCTATTAGTGAGGTCATTCATTCTTTGATAAACAGGTGGCAATTATTGCCCTTATTTAAGGAAGGAAGGCAGCAAATGTTGGACATGCTGGTTACAGTGCATTTCTCTCTGAAATTCTGAGGAAAATGGGTCGTTCCAGACATTGTTCAGAAGAACAGCGTACCTTGATTAAAAAGTGGATTGGAGAGGGGAAAACATATAAAGAAGTGCAGAAAATGATCGGCTGCTCAGCTAAAATGATGGCAAATGCTTTAAAATGGCAACCAAAACCTGAAAGACGTGGAAGAAAGCGAAAAACTACCATTGGAATGGATAGAAGAATAGCCAAAATGACGCGGACTCAGCCAACAATCAGCTCCAGGAAGATGAAAGAAGGTGTGACGTTCCCTGTGAGGACTGTTACAATTAGAAGACACCGATGTGAAGCCAAGCTATCTGCAAGAAGTCCCCGCAAAGTCCCACTGTTGGGAAAAAGACGTGTGCTGAAGAGGTTACAATCTGCCAAAGAGCACATTGACCGCCTAAAGAGAAATGGCGCAACATTTTGTGGACTGATGAAAGTAAGATTGTTCTTTTTGGGTCTAGTGGGCGGAGACAGTTTGTCAGACGACCCCCAAACATTGAATTCAAGCCACAGTACACTGTGAAGACCGTGAAGCATGGTGGTGCAAGCATCATGATATGGGGATGTTTCTCATACTACGGTGTTGGGCCTATTTATCGCATACCAGGGATCATGGATCAGTTTGAATACATCAGAATACTTGAAGAGGTCATGCTGCCTTATGCTGAAGAGGAAATGCCCTTGAAATGGGTGTTCCAACGAGACAACGACCCCAAACACACCAGTAAAGGTGCAACATCTTGGTTCCAGACCAACAAGATGGACGTTATGGAGTGGCCAGCCCAATCCCTGGATCTTCATCCAATAGAAAACTTGTGGGGTGACATCAAAAATGCCGTTTCTGAGGCAAAACCAAGAAATAGAGAAGAACTGTGGAATGTGGTCCAATCATCCTGGGCTGGAATACCTGATCACAGGGGCCAGAAGTTGGGGGACTCCATGCAACACAGATGTACAGCAGTTCTCAGAAACAGTGCGACTACAACCAAATATTCATGAGGTCATTCAAAGGAAAGCAAAATCTTCAAACATTTCTCAGTTTATATAGTGAATGTTGGAGTTTGTAAAGAAGAATACAAACACTGCGATTTTTTTGAACCGTCTAATATTCACTTTTCTTCAATATTTTTTTTTTTTAGAGGAACAACACAAATTTGATGTATTTTTCTTCATGTTGTGATTTGGAATAGAATGTGTCGTGTTCCCAATGCATTTGTGTGGATGGAAATAAAAGCTATTAGAAGGATTTTCAGCTTTATTCACTTTTTTTTTCAACACACTGCTATTATTTTGAACACAACTGTATATATCATATAGGGTCCTCCATAAAAGTCTAGTTGATTGGTATTGACAACAGAAGCCAAACATAGGGGCAAAGCTGGTGCAGATTTCAGGAGACAGTCAGTCCAAACTAGGATCCATAGGGTACAGGAAAAAAAAAAAAAAAAAAGAATCCCCACAATGCTGGATAAGAGTCGAAAATGAAGCCGAATGTTGAAGAATACCAGTGAATCTGGTTGTGTAGAAGTGGAAAACCCAGATACTGCTGTGTTTGGGGATGGACTCAATGTCATTGGGACCACATAATGAAATTCTTGGGATATGAACGCCTTGCTTCCCTCAAAGGACCGGGGAGTCCAAATATACTAAACAGAGAAAAAACAAACAGAGCGTGCATTGGCCTAGTGCATTACCTAAAAAGTATGTTTATTGAATGTTACAAAATAAGTATTCTACTCACAATCGTCAATAAAGGAAAGGCACGTCATGAAGGAACCCGCTCTGTCCAATTCACACTGCAAATCTGTCTTATGATGAGAATTCTGGACATCCAAAAGGCTGGAGGGCTCTGAGGAGGAGGCTAGCCCTCGAAACGCTTCAGCCTTTTGGATGTCCAGAATTCTCATCATAAGACAGATTTGCAGTGCGAATTGGACAGAGCGGTTCCTTCATGACGTGCCTTTCCTTTATTGACGATTGTGAGTAGAATACTTATATTTTGTAACATTCAATAAACATACTTTTAAGGTAATGCACTAGACCAGTGGTGGGCAACCTGTTTTTTTTTCAACTGAGCCAAATCTCGCCAAAACCACGATTGAAATTTATTTTGAGAGCCACATTTTTTAAAACTGAAAATACATCCCCCATATAGTAATTTCATCCCCCATATAGTAATTCATCCCCCATATAGTAATTCATCCCCCCATATAGTAATTCATCCCCCATAATAGTAATTCATCCCCCATATAGTAATTCATCCCCCATATAGTAATTCATCCCCCATATAGTAATTCATCCCCCATATAGTAATTCATCCCCCATAGTAATTCATCCCCCATATAGTAATTCATCCCCCATAGTAATTCATCCCCCATATAGTAATTCATCCCCCATATAGTAATTCATCCCCCATAGTAATTCATCCCCCATATAGTAATTCATCCCCCATATAGTAATTCATCCCCCATATAGTAATTCATCCCCATATAGTAATTCATCCCCCATAGTAATTCATCCCCCTATAGTAATTCATAATTATAGTAATTCATCCCCCATATAGTAGTAATTCATCCCCCATATAGTAATTCATCCCCCATAGTAATTCATCCCCCATATAGTAATTCATCCCCCCTATAGTAATTCATCCCCCATATTGTGTCAATTCACTTACCTTTGCTCCGCGCGTTCCTCTTGCCGTGTTCCCGCGCCGTTCTGGTCTTCAGGGCGGACTGTGAGAGGAGAGGAGTTCGTCACGCTGCCCCGCCTACATCCTGGCTGCCCCGCCTACATCCTGACAGCTGCATTGTCCTGACTTTTGGGGTGGTCGCCCGAGAGGAGGGGGGGGGGCGGCCGCCCGAGAGGAGGGGGGGGCGGGCGCCCGAGAGGAGGGAGGGGGGCGGGCGCCCGGCACACAGAAGAGCCGCATTTAAGTTTGTA